AAAGAAAGAGAATGGACGGCTGCTCCTAGTGCATAATTTGTCTTCATTTAAAAATGATGATATTAACTTGCATTTCAAGAGTATTAAGGCTGTTAGTTGTCGTTGTTTGCCATTGATTCTGATTTTTTTTTTTTTTTGGTTGATCCTGTTGGTATTGTTTTGCTTGAGAAATGAGGCGTATGCCCAAAAAAACATTGGGTAAAGAAAAAGAATGGACGGCGGCTCCTATTGCATAATTTGTTTTCATTTGAAATGATGATATTAACTTGCATTTCCAAGAGTATTGAGGCCGTTAATTGTCGTTTTCGTTAAGTTCTCTAGACTAGTTTCTTCGCATTAAATATGGGAGATGATGGAAGCTGATGATGTCTCTGTTCTTCTTGTTGTTAATGCTTTCGTTGTCATTATCGTTGCACCTGCATCATGAGGGGAAGGTGAGGCTGACCAGGGGAGTCTGTTTGAAGTTAAGGGCATTAAAAGTAAAAGAACAAATGTCAACTAAGCTGCAACTAAAGCAAGTAGAGCTGATGAGGGTTTCTAGTTCGTGAATTTTAGATGAGAAGAGGGGAAGACTTTGTTTGTTCTAGGAGTTATTATTACCAAAGATTATTGTGCATGCTAAAATGTTGAATTCATTGATTATTGTTGTTATGGTTAGCAATTGTTGTAAGATTTCTCGAGCTAAACCAGAAAGTAGAAACGACATTATGATGATGATGCCGCTTGTTTGGTGTGTTATTTTCTAATTTTCTGCATGGGAAGGGTAGAGGAAAAGGTGCTGTGATGTTTTGTTTAGTTAAATTTCCACGTCCCCTTTCCTTAAGCTCTCTTCTACCATGTTTCTGCTGATTGCTTTGGTTTACTTGCTAAAGCTAATATGATGGATGTGAAATGTGCTAATTGACATTTGGTGTTATGCCATTTAAACAACCTCTGGCTGCCAATGATCTTTTCTGCTTAATACTGTAGCTGCTGTGTTTATTAGTGCTGATTAGAATTTTTTTTCTCTTAATCTTATCCTGTAGTTTGTTTCGAAAAAGTCTTGGCTACTCCTTTTCCTTTTTCCATTGACAAGGAAACTGGAACCAGCAAAATCATGACCAGCGAAATCATGACAACTGTCAATGGGAAGATCAAGAAAACACTCCTTTGGAGTGAAGGAGAAAATGAAAAGGTGGGGGTGTTTATCAGTAAACAAAGTGCGAAGCTGGAACGCCTTCTTATGGAGCAGAAGTGGATGGAAGATAAGAAGATGGAGCATTAGAAAATTGAGGGAGTTGACAAGGTTTGGAAAGCAATTGGACTAATCCTATTGACCCCTTGTATTCTCCCTTTGTATTCTCTTTATTTCGGGTTCACTCGGAGCTTTGGCTACTTATTCGTAGAGAAATTGGCTACTTATTCGTAGAGAAATGTTTGGAACTCTAGTTGAGGTAGTTTGCGTTCTCATAACTTTGTCTAGCCAGGCGCACAAGGTTCATCTTTTTGGTTCAAATCAAAGAAGTAAACTTCATAATCCTTTTGACTAACAAAGATCTATAACTATCAAATTTGCAAAATGGAATTAAAGATAAAGCTCTTCTTGTGCTACAATTCACTTTGGCATAGAATCAAAGAATCTGGAGTATGATAGATGTTGATGCACAAATGACAAGGAAGTGAAACATTCTACCAAAAATAAAGTAAAAAATTCAGACAACAAATAAAAAGTCCCACTCCCCATTATGACAATATTAAATTACACAAAGATAGTACTACTTTGTGACTTTGCTTCCGAGGAACAAGGAACAAGGAACCAGGATAGCTACCTGGGGCTTTACGGCACTAATGATAATATATGAATTTCACTGTATTTCTCATTTTTTTGAAGCTAATATGAATATGTTAATTAGTTGCGAAATAGAGGATGAAAAGTACGGAAGCAGAATCTATTTCGTTTTTCTTTTCCTTAAAGTATTCAAAGTGAAAAGGAAGATGGACAAAAGAAAGGCTTAAACTAATCAGTTTACATTTATCCTGTCGCCCCATTGAACGCTCATTATTATTATTATTCTTATCATGATGATGAAGATGAACTACAAGGCATGTATTATCCCAAAGAAAATTTGGTAATGAGGTAATGCAAATGATTTACTCAAAATAATGATTTCTCATGGTCGAATTATAATAGTCCATTTCGATTAAATTAATTTTGTACAAAAATGAAAAAAGATGATCAGTATAGTATAAATCAGTGAGAACAGCTGATTTTACTAAGCACAAACAGAGGATAACTTTGTTCATCATATGTATCTTTTATTGATTGAAAAACAATTGTCGAATTACACAATTACCAGCTTTAATTATCCCTCTATAGATAGAGATAAAAAATGGAGAATCGCAATTCTCAGAAATTAGTTAAAATGATTAATAAAAAGAAAGGAACAAATGTAAAATGTGTAATCGATGAAATAGATGCCAAAGCGCGGAGCTGGAATACTATGCTTGCTTTCGAGAGATGAAATAGAAAGCAAAATCTGAGAACGGTGTCGCTAAAAACATTTTGATCGCTAAGAACTTATTTATTTGTTAATATACGTACTCTTTCTGTCCCATAATTATTGTCCAGTTTGAGTTTTCATTTCTAATTCAATTTGTACTAAAAGTGATATCTCAAATTAAACAATAATTTTAGGACAGAAAGAGTATTTGTTTTTACTTCTTCTATAGTTATCTTTCTTTTCTTTTTTTTTTCTCTTTTCTCGAGGTCAATCTAAACAAAGATACAATTTTGATGCGCATTCCCATGACAACCACATATCATAAGGAAAAGTTAAATCGTTGCTTGATCTCTCGCCCCCTGTAGAGGGGGAAAAAGACTCAATTTATTTCTACTAACTCTGTGTCAATATTATTATCATACTTGTTATCTTATTTTAGTACAAGCATAACAATTATTTTAGATTAGAGATTATAACAAGGCCAACATTGTAATATTAAAACATTGAGATGATCGATGTAGTTACAAATACATATTAGAGAAATAATTACATATTATAAGCTTTAGTTATGCATGGGTCCTTCCTTCATCTTAATAATTTTTTTCCCATAAGATTATTGGGTCCGTGTAAATGGTCATGTTTGTTAAATTATTTTGAGAGGAAGCGAGAATCATACAATCATATGTTCATAGAAAGAAAGAGTTTTTTTTTTTTTTTTTGGTTTCTTTTTTCTAGCGATTACGATGAGATGAGATCATCAATAAATGGAAATTGAAGGCATACGAGGAAAACAATTAAATTCAGTAAGAAAGTAAAACGTAACGGTTAGGAAACCTGAATGATGATAAATATTAAAAGAAAACGGATGGATGGCAAAATGAAGCATTATTGTGAAGGACAACAAACACATGTAAGAAAACGGCAGACATGCATATTGATTCATGAATGAAACTGAAGATCTAATCGAGCTACTAGCCAAAGATGTGAGCAGGAGTTACTAAAGTGACTTTCATCTTCGAGTCATCAACGCATGCAGTAGTTTATTAATTGGATCTTACTCGATCAGATTAGTCGGAGAAATGACTACGGACACTAGGTTCCTAAAAATATAAAAGAAAAGAAAAGTAAAAGTAAGATTGGGGCGAATGAATTTAGGATTCATTGAACCTGAGAGACAAACGGAGAACTCACCTTACCAGTATGTTGTTCCGCCAACCCACCACTATTTACTTGTGCATGCTGCACATCCAAAACAAACGCACGCTCTCGCGCGCACACAGTCACCAGTCACATGTAGTATGTAACACTTACTTAAGGAACAACTAAAACTAACTTAGCTGGAGAAGCCAGAGAGAGATCTGGTTAAAGAACATGGGAGTTTGGGTTGGTCAAAAAACATACTCCCTCCGTCCCATAATTATCGTCCAATTTGAGTTTCATTTATAGTTTAAATTGTGCTGAAAGTAAAATAGTATCAAACTAGACAATAATTTTGAGGCATAGGAAATATATAATTATTACTACTACAAGTTACGAGTGAGTGAGTGTGGGGGTGGTGATCAGTTATACTAGTGCCTCGAAAAAGAGCTAAAGTTTCTGAATTCATTCATCAGAGACTGAGACTCTCTCTTTGAAAACTGCCAGGAATTTGCACGTGTAAGTTGTATTACCCAATGCTCCTCCTCCAATGGCTTTTCTTTTCATTTCTTTTCTCAGTGTGTGTGTGTGTGCGTGCGTGTTTAAATATACAGTGCAAATTAAAACTGCCACTGCCATTTTATGCTGCAAAAGTGCCTGCAGATTTTCGCCACAACTTCTTCTTCTACTCCCCCACCACAGTAGTAAGTGGGTATAAACCCTAAAAAGGTCAAAATGTAGCAAGCAGTCAAACTCTGGAAAAACACATTTCAAGATACAGTCTGATCGCTCCCATACCTTTGTGTTTCTCTTCCCTGAATTCCCCATCGCATAACAAATCAGTTTCTGAGTTCTTCTGAACCAGGGCCAGTCATCTCTTTCTTGCATGCAATCATCATGGTTACCAACTTAATTATCACCCCATGACCAGAATTTCTCTTCTTTTTTTTCTTTTTTTTGTTAAAAAAGAACTTAATGTAGAGAGGAATTTAGAGTTATTCCTTTACCGCCACTTGGAAATAGACAAATTAATCCACTAGAAAATGATTAATCAAGTTGATTAGTGTACTAGCCAGCAAGAATAATCATCGTACCAAGTGCACTCACTTAAATCTATGCATGTGATAAAACTAATTAGTGTTTCGAAAACACTTTTGTATTTGAACATTGAAGTAGTGCGCGTTTGGTCCAAATTGGATACTTGAAATTAATATAGACTATTAAATCAAATGCAATGGGAGATTTTCTACACATCGATCTATTATTTGAAGGTACGAGTAAAATGATGATGTGTTAATTAAGGTAACTGTTGCACATGATCCATTTTAAGCCTCCGTTTTAGTGCAAGATATTCATTTTGTGTTGGGAAAAAGAAAAATAAAAACCCAACTGAAACAAAAATATATATTTTCCCACTTTCATAGGGGAGGAACAGGAACCGAGTGAATGAAAATTAGCAGACAAGTTACCAGAAACTGAAACAACAACAAAAGAAAAAGGGCAAGAAGAAGATTCTGCAGCAAGTTCTTCTCTCCTTGTTTAGTACTCCTATCCCCCCCAAAAAGAAAGCAGCAGCCAAAAAAAAAAAACAAGACTTGAACAAACTATTCTCTAAAGAGAGAACCCACAAAAAATTCATGATTAATTTGTACATCCCTCTCTTCCAATACAACAAAGTTAACCCAAAAACAAAAAAGGAAATATTAAAAACACTCTAATCATCTTCACCACCATTATCATCATCAATTCATCATCTTTGGGGGGAGAGAGATCATCAATTAATTCATAAACACAAACCTGATGAAACTACTACTTCAGAGAGATCTCCAGCTAGTAAGAAAGAAAAGAAAGAAGGAAAGAGAAGAAGAATGCTGCAAAATGATCATCATAATTAATGCCCAACTTCCGAAATCAATGATGATGGGTTTAAAACGGAGGAGGACGGCCCGCATTCCCCCAATAAGCCTCCGCCGGCAATTGCCCCGAATTCAACAGATTCGGAGGCTGAATCCCACCATGAAACGGATTTGAGTTCGGATCCTGACCCAACATCTGCTGCTGTTGTTGTACTTGTTGTCCACCTCCTCCGCCTCCGCCTCCGCCACTGCCGGGAGATCCCAAACCACCACCCGGCGGAGCAATCCCGGCGGATTCATCGTCTTCCAACGGTAGCCTCTCATAAGCCGCGTTCCCAAAAGAAGCCGCCATAATCACAACTGGGCCAGCAGCCAAAAGGGGCCCAACAACGCTCCCACCCACAACCTGGCCTTGTCCGCCGGCCAAATAAATGGTGAGCCCAGAAGCCGCCGGAGGTGCAGGAGGCGGCAGAAACGAACCCGAAAGAGACAAAATCTCGAACCTCCCATGTAAAGTCACCACCGCTCCGGGTGCCGCCGGTTGCCTGAGGGTAACATTATTGACGGTTCCGCTTCCGCTCAGAATACAAATCCCTCTTTGTCTCCGGGTCGCGAAATTAGATAAACTGTCTTGAATATCGCACCCGCTGGCTATTTCCATGACGTGAGATCTCAGCGCGTTGGCGCTGTCCCGGGTTATGATGATGGGTGGTTTGGGCTTGTTTTTCGACCCTGCGGGTCTTCCTCTGGGCCGCCTCCTCACTTCATCTTGCTCTCCGGATCCTCCTCCGCCGGAACCAGAACCCATTGGTTCTTTATCTTCGCCGCCGCTTCCTCCGCTGTTGGGAGTGTAATTTCCGACATTGTCTACTTCCCGATCTCGTTTCTGGTGGTTGCGGTGGTTTGGCGGTGGGGTGGTGCTGTTTCCGCTTATTTCGTCTTCGGTTTTGAGATTATGTTGCTGATGAAACTGCTGTTGTTGTTGTTGCTGCTGCTGGTGGAGGTGTTGCTGAAACTGATGATGATGATGGTGTAACTGAAGATCTCTGGTGTGAAAAGGCGGTGGAAGTGGACGGCCGTGAGCCGTGAGTTGATCCATCTTCTTCCTGCTTCTTCTTCTTCTTCCGACTTAAAAAAAATTTAAGCAGTACTACTAAAAAGAAGTTTTAGGGGAGGAAGAATTAAGGAATAAAAAGAAATTAGTTTGTGGGTTGGGTTGTTTGTTTTTTTGGGTATCTAATTCTCAGCACAGAGAAGTGAAGTGAACCCTTTTTTGTCGTGGGTTTGGGTTTGTAGGGAAATCTAGGTTGCTAGCTAGCTAGGTAGCTAAAGCGAAGCTCTATAGCTCCTGCTCGTAGGTTAGAGAGTTGGCAGAAGAAGGGGGCTTGAAGCATCATCATCCTCCACCAAATCCTGAGCTGAAAAATACCACCATCTTTTTTGCCCCCCCTCAGATTTCATGCCAGGAAACCAAACCAGCTGCAGAAGTTGTAGTTCAAATATACATCAATCCTTCTTAAAACAGCCAGCTGCTTTCCGCGACCCGATTCAGGTTAATTATAGCAGCAGTGAGTGAGTGAGAGTGAATGATATGTGTATATTTTGCTGGTTGAAGGGTTAGAGAGAGAAGAAAAGGGAGAGAGAAAGATAAGGAGAAAGAAAGGTGAGAGTTTGGGGAAGTTGATGTTCTGTTCTTCTAATTTTGGAGGAGGATGAACAAAAAATATTTTAGATAAGTGTTTGTTTTATTTTTGGGTTTGGGGGGCCAAATCCATGGGGGAAGCTACAAGACTAATTTTACTAGGACCCCACCCCTTCCTTCTCCCTTTTTTCTTCCTAAGTTGTTTTTTGTTTTTCCTTTTTCTTTTTTTTTTTTTTTGTAGACTTTTTACTTTAGCACACACATATATTAGCAAATAGCAAAACTTAGAATTTAGGGTTAGGTCAAGACACATTAGGGTAAGCCAAAATAGTAGTAGTAGCACTAAGAAGAAGAAGATTTGGATTGGATGGATGGGATGAATGATGAAAAATGAATGGATGGGATGGATTTGGTTTTGGGATGCAAATGACAGCGTGCGCATGGGCGGTGTTTCGGCCCCCACATTTCTCTCTCTTTTGTCCCTCTTTCTCCTCCTCCTTCCTCTATAGTAGGGGCCCCTCCAGCAGCACCCCACGTTCCCTTTCTTTCCCAATTACCATGATCAGAAAGAAAGAAGAACTTAGCCCACAATACAGCAGCCCCTCCCTTAATCTGAGTGTGTGTGTGTGTGTGTGTGTTTTCAGAGTTTACACCACATAATCATATTGTCCCAAAATTGAAATCATTACTAACTTAAAGCACCTCATCATGTTCTTCTTCATGGCAGATTGAGCACCAAATTAATTGAATAGAAACGCGGCTGATATTGCTTTGTGTGTTTATCTTGAATATTTTAAGAATTCCAATTTTTTTATTTTTTTTTTTGATTTTTAGGTTGTAGTTCCTTGAATATTTGGATTTGTTACCGAGTATATTCTTTTTCACATGTTAATTTGAAGAAGCAAGAAAAAGAAAAATCAAATTTTGTTGGCTAATTTTATAACATGATTCAATTGCGGTCAGTAATTAATATACTCATTCGATTGAACTAGGAGATGTTAATTTATATAAGCATGACATTGTGTGTACATTATTTTAACATTTCTTTCATTATTAAAAGATTATTATTAAAAGAAAAAGAACATACATAACCTCTCCAATTTCATTTGTATTGAGAACTTGTGTCTGTTGATTGAAAACGGATGTTTAACATGAAAATTATGAGAAAATCTACTGTACAACCACGATTCTATAGTTTTTTATTTATTTTTTAATACATACTGAGGAGGCATAAAAGTGCCTAAGTTACATCTTAATACCGAATTAACGACTTTATAGTTGTGTCTTGCTTTCAAGCATTTGTATCAACCAATCAGGCTTAACTAAAACCTATCATGAATTCTTTAAGACAAGAAAAATGATACTCTGTCCTATTTTAAATATTACTTTTTCCATCCAAAAAAATATAATCTTTTAAATTTGTGTTAAAACTAATACAAATTTAAAAATTCAATGTATATTATTTCCGGAACAAAGAAAGTAATTCAATAAGATAGATTATTATAGTTTCCGAAATAAAAGCTACGTATACTGCTGTTTATAGATCGTAACATTATAATTTTATCTTCTTGTTTCCTCTAGCTTTTTTGTCTCTCTCAAAATTTCCTAATTAATTCATCCCATTTGTTTAACACTGCATTCCGTGCAACAGATTTTTTCTTTTTTTTTTTTGCACATGCAAATGAAGAGTTAATTTGAGAGTAAAATTAACTAAATCTTAAAATTTGTAAAGAAAAAGATAAATAGAGAGAATTAATAATGCCATGATCATCATCATCATGACCTAGCAAGCTGGAAAGCTCCAACCTCTTGATCTTCTTCCGTTACTTGAAAGAATGAGATGAAGTAAATTGTAAATAATTTTCTTCGAAAAAAAAAGGAAGAAGAAGAAGACAAACGGTGTCATTATAACTAAGATCGGCCATCGGCGGCCGGGGGCGTTGGTTTGTGGATACATCAGAATAAGCGTTACGGCAGTTTCCTGAATTCACGAAATGCTAAGGTAAGGCAACGAAAGGAATTAGGAGATGAGGACAGTTTTCACAAATTTCTCATTTTTTTGTAAATAAAAATGACGTTATTTAACTAGCACCCACAACTAAACACGATATGATATAATCTCATTTGGTTTTCATGATTCTGAAACAAATCCAAGAAACATTATAGCTGCCGGAGGAGATAACAGTGGAGAGGGAAAATGGTTCATTACTAATAAATTAATTGACAACGTAATCAACGATCACCAAGTTGGCCCTTAAGGAAAATTAACGGTCCGGGACATCTTTCCTTCACCCCCATTTGTTGTTTGTGAGTTTGGTTTAAGGACCGGTTTTCAAGTTCCCATACCCCACATGTTTAAGACCTCCAACTTTGAAAAGATTGTAATTGATTAGGAACATAATCTCTAGTATTATGATACAAAAAATCTTGGCAAGTAATCAATCTACATATCTAATTATATTTGTTATCAAATAATCTTTCTGATTAGGTATTCGCTCTTATATTTATATATGAAACACAATTTAAATCAATTTAGCCTTATAAATGAGAAAGAATGGAGACAATTTTTTTAAACCTACATATTTCACTAGCTATTGTATTCTATCAAGAAGGGCCAAAATAAAAATGGCGCAAATAGAAACCTTGTATCCAACCATGTAACGTCTATATTTGTGGGCGCAAAGAGGGTTCACATCATACTTGAGAGGGCCCATCATCCCATTATGTATATATATCCATTGGAGGGGGAGCAATTTGTGCACATTTTGAGCTGTGTTAAGATTTGCTACACAATCACTTTCAAATATTAAAATAAAAAGCACCCATTGATTTGAGATTACAAAGAAAGGTTCCAAAGTACTATTGAAGTCCTTAAAATGTAACACTATGATTGAAGAAGCACTAAGTGATGATCATCATCATTTTGGGATTGATTTAACGTACTAGATTTTTTGCACATTAGTTAGAAGTACTAGCACTACTAGGAGGCTTTAGTATTTATCCTCTTCTTCCCCATTGTTCTAGGAGTTTTTAAGGGACATATATAGGGGCTTCAAATGTTAAAAAGTTATCTTTTGTAAGACACTCACCATCATGGTGTCCTTTTGTGTTGTAACTTTTGTTAAGTTTTTCTTTTCTTTTTTTTTTTTTTTTGGCAAAAAGTAAACTATAGAGATGCCTCCAATTGTATGTTTTGCATAAGATATTTAGCACACAATCAACAAATAAATTTTTGCAACAGCTCACATCAAGCTTTATTCTATGAGTAGCTATAGTAATATATTCAATCATTCTTTATGTACCTTCAGCTTTGGTTTATGACTGCGACGCCCCACATTATTTAGACTTTGGAACTCTCTTTTTTGTGTGTGTGTGTGTGTGATATGTTTTGATGTAAACTTCAAAGCCAAGAACCTTAAAGGGCGATTTCACTAATGAAACATTAATTTGTACACTTATCTATGGTTAATAATAAAAGTATGTAACAAATATATGTAGTACACAATATACTCCTTCCGACCTAAATATCATTTGAATTAAGGATATGAGACGTTAAAGCGCAGGCATAAATCTAACGAGTTTGAGTTTAATGACTGGATCATTCTCTATTGAAACATCAATTTATTCATATGAACCTTTAAATTAAAGCGTTTACATTCGAAAATCAATCGGGATTAATTGATGACAAAAACTGACGGTAGGATATACACCTTGAAAACAGTAGTCAAATCCTATATATATTAATGAATCTGACATTGTCAAAAGTGGTTGATTTCTTAATCCTGGGGTATAGGTACGTCTTGCCGGCATTGATACGAAAATAGAAAGCAGCAGCTAGCTAAATTTGGCAGGCAGCGCGCTGTATTTCATGGGGAATGTGGGGAAAGAAAGTTTTGTGGCAGAGCAAAATGGTAAGGAATTAAGGACAAATTTTGTTGCTGCGGCATGACTTCGGGTGCAAGTGAAAGTGATATCTAAAGGAAGTCGTACCATATACCATAATTTCGTAGCAGACATCGTGTTTGATCAATTTCGATGGGTTCACATCATCAACTTTTTTTCTTTTCTTTTTTTGTGTTTCCTTACTATATCTAATCGACAAAAGAAAAATGAAAATAAAAGGGTCGATCGTCTTTTTTGAATGCTGAAATTGATGCCAGAGTTCGAATCACGTCATGCCAACTCATTATGTGACTGACTCCCACGCCCAACCACACACACACACACACACACTTGATACTAAATCCTGCCTTACCGCAATCAATCATCCTAGCTAGTTTCCCTCCATCCAAGTTGTTTGTACAAAAACCTCCAAGTTCCCGCCTATAGCTTTCGCTTTTCCCAACAACCACACGCACACATATACTATATGTATCTACATTTTGACTGATATATACCTCACTCCGTTGCAAAATAATTACTATCGTGCATATGGAAATCTTTTAGTGGATCACAATTGTAAATGGTATATGCTTCATCAAATTTAAAACTAATTAGTTATAAGTTAGTTAGTTTTCTCTATAATACGATTTCGGTTGATTCAGAATTTAACTTTTGTAGTTTGTAAGTGATTTACTAAATTAAAATAGTATATTTTTACTTTAAAATATACAAATCTCAAAATTTAATATGGATTATCTTTTTAGAACAGAGAGATACGTCCGAAAATCGTTGATCAATATGAATTTGTTATAAGAAATTTGATCCACGGAGGGACAACCCCCAGAAAAATCCACAACTCAATAAGTTTCTTAGTTCGTTTTACTTATTAATTAATCTATACAACTCAATGTAACAAAGTAATACAAATTTTGGACTGAATTTAGCCAGCTGTGACCAAATCTTGAAGAGAAACAAGACAAGAGAACTCATAATGCGAGATGAGGTTGGGGGGATCTAAACTAAAACTAAAAATCTTGGGTGTTTCATCATCATGTGAGGATGACAACGTTATGGTTTGACCAAGGAATGCCAGTCAAAAAAAAAGAAATGGAACCCATAAAAAGAGAAAGCACACGAAGAAGGAAGAGAACAAACAACAACAAAATCATGATATACTCTCATTTGATTGAGCCAAGTAGCTTAAGGTAGCAGGCTGTGGCCTGTAGCATCAGTAGTATATTGTATGG